CCCGCTATAGCCATTCGCCGGCTCAAGGCCCTAAAAAAATCCATAAAGCATTTTCTTTCCCCCCCCCCCCCTCCCCCCCTCCCTCCCTCCCATCCACCACAAAATAAGCCGTCCAAGAAATCGAGACAATATGATTTTTAGGGCTGTACACTAAGAAAAAAAGTTGCCCCCACTTAAAATATAACCCCGTGAGTCTCTGATAATCAGATAATCAACTGAACAACCGCGTGTCGATATTCTTGCTCAACCCGGCATTGAAACACCTCAAGAAATACCTCCCGTTCAGACATCCATTTAAATTCATCTGTTGTGAGGGGTTTACTCATAGCCCATCCATAAAGGTTATTAGCATCTAGGTATGTGATATATTTCGTTGCTTCCTTATCGTTGTATTTCTTTCCCATGTATGGGTTATTTGCTTTCCCATGACTGTTTGAAATCATCGAGATCTCTCCCCTAATTCCTTTTTCGATCATGAGTAGCATATCTGGGTCAGACAATAATTCCAACCTTACTTTTGTAATTTTCAAGGCAGCATCCCAAGCCAACCCTGCATGGTGCTGTGTAATACCAAACTGGATCAGGGTTATAATTATTACTACAGACATCTCTAAAATTCTCTAACACATCAGGCAATAACAGCACTTCAGAGACATCATACAAGTCATGATAATCTCTAAGAGTCATTTCAAACTCTTTCCACACACGCTCAGCGTGTTTGTAATCTTCATTTGATATGTCTTCGCCACTAAGTTTAGAGTAAAATGCCTCTTTTGATGGGAGTTGGGCCTCATCTAGTCTTTTGAGGGAATTCATATAGTCGTAGAGGAATACGCGTTTCCTCAACAGCAGACTTAGTTGCTGTTAGTTGCCCTCCTCTATAGTACTTGCTTGTGTTTACACAACATCCCTTCTCGAGGTTGCTCTCTAATTTATCAACGCTTGATGCCATGAACTTAAAGCTATCAATAAACCTCAGTTGTTGTTTTATCTGGTTTTATGTCCTTTCCATCTTTATCTGTGTCCACTACAACTTCTTCGCTAAAACTGATATACTTTTCTTCATTATTTTGTGATGCAGTTAATGTTTCCTTCACTCACTCCAGGTTTTGTTGAACAGATGACTATCATACCCACTTAGATTGTGAAAACCTACAGGGATGAATTTTGGTTTCTTAAACTGAAGATTGCACTTGTTGTGTGCTGAGCCACGGAATTTACCACTGAAATGGCAGTGGTCTTTATTGTCTTTGTCAAACTCTCCATGACAAATCCAACACTTGGTTCTTTCCATCTTTGCATCTTCTTTCCAAATCACATCTTCACATCCTCTTTCCAAATATCATTGTCTTTGGGAAACTAAATTTCTGATAGATAGACCTCAATAACGTCTTGTAACGTCTTGTAACATGTTAACAAATTTTTGTGCTACATCTTCATCCTTAGTTTCAGCAGTATAGGCTACAGGTGGTTGAGAATAGACAATATCATCATAGCTCTTGATGTAGTAGCAAAAGCTTGATGAAGTATGTTTTTGATATTGTTTTGTGTAGCTGTTTTCTGGGTTTCGTTGACACGTATCTATTGGTTTGATGAAGGACTCAAAGTCTGCATAAACGATAAAGGGCACTCTCATTGATCCATTGCAATTTTGAAAGGCCAGAGTAATCCTTCCTCAGGCATTTCAAATTTGACAGCCTCGTTTGTATTACAGTATCCTTCATGTGAAAGGTTTGAACCCAGGAGTCATTTTCAAAAGTAGTTTGAGTTTGATCGTCCAGAATAGGACTGTTGTTGTTGACAGTGACTGACGTTTCGACAACCTGTGCGGTAGTCATCTTCAGAGTCAAAGTGAGTTGTATCACGTCAGTTGATGGTATTATAATCTGGTTATTGATTTGATTGGTCAATTACGTCGTGATGTTATTGGTCGTCTGTCAGTTAAGCCGTGATGTTATTGGCTATGAAGAATCAGTAATTGGTGCGTTTCGATCCGTCTATTGTCACAGTTAAACAGTCGTCTATTGTTAGTCAAATTGTCATTCTCTCGTAGCTAGTTTTGCTTGATCTCGTCAATAAGTCGTTTGTACGGTGCTGGTAACTGTTGGCTACGATTCAGTGGCGTTTGTTCTAAGTTAGTAAACCAGCTTTCTAAAGTAAGACGTTGATAGTAGTCTGTAGAATACGTTACACATGTCGCAGAGTCCCAGTCAATTTGATGTTTCGTCCTTAAATGGTGCTCAGCAATGTGATTGTTGACGTCACCATTCTTCGTAGCTCATTTGTGTTCGGTCAGTCGCGAGCTTAGTTCACCAAGGAAATGGTAAGATACCTTTTCTAGACTGCTTGGTCACTCGCGACAACAACAAACTACAAACGACTATTTACAGAAAACCGACACATACCGACCGATTACTAGACCAGTCCTCGTACAACCCGACCTCTCACAAGGCTACTACTATCCGGACTCTGACGAGACGAGTGCAACTAGTTTGTGACTCACCTGACAGCCTACAAGACGAGATTGATTATCTTAACAACGTTTTTAGTAAGAACAATTACAACACGGACTTTGTTAGATGGAACACTCACAGTAACACTGATTCCAACACTCAGACCAACTCTGGCCCCGTTACGACAGCGACTATACCATACATCAGAGGTTCCTCTGAAACTATTGCACATATATATATATTACAACCTTACAATACACGTGTTGCACACAAACCGATAACCACTTTACGGCGACTGCTTACTAATGTCAAGGACAAAGACAAACCGGAGGACAGACAGGGAGCAGTATATAAGATCAAATGCTGCGACTGCCAGGCTTCTTACATTGGTGAAACCGGCAGAAACCTAAGCACGCGACTGACCGAACACAAATGAGCTACGAAGAATGGTGACGTCAACATTCACATTGCTGAGCGCCATTTAAGGACGAAACATCAAATTGACTGGGACTCTGCGACATGTATAACGTATTCTACAGACTACTATCAACGTCTTACTTTAGAAAGCTGGTTTACTAACTTAGAACAAACGCCACTGAATCGTAGCCAACAGTTACCAGCGCCGTACAAACGACTTATTGACGAGATCAAGCAAAACTAACTACGAGAGAATGACAATTTGACTAACAATAGACGACTGTTTAACTGTGACAATAGACGGATCGAAACGCACCAATTACTGATTACGAGTCTTCATAGCCAATAACATCACGACGTAATTGACCAATCAAATCAATAACCAGAGTATAATACCATCAACTGACGTGATAGAACTCACTTTGACTCTGAAGATGACTACCACACAGGTTGTCGAAACATCAGTCACTGTCAACAACAACAGTCCTATTCAGGACTACGTTCACCCGGACGATCAAACTCAAACTACTTTTAGTATCCTTCATGTTTGGCTAATGATTCTTGGGAAGAAAATGAGTTCAAAAATCTATGACCAAAATGGTTTTCGTGTTCGCTTTTACACGTCTGGCAAGATAACAACCTATCCATGTTACTGATGAGACAATAGTGCGTTTTTCATCATCAGAAATAAGCAAAAGGTTTTACTTTTTTTCACCCTGTCTGAATACTTACTTAGTACCCCAGAGGGGATCCCTATTTTCAAAGCATAAACATTACACTCATACCCAAAGACGTTGAATGAAATATATGGGTTGTTCTTTTCAAACTTGTCTATCTTTTTTTGTGAAACGGGGTAATCGATGCCAGTCATATTCAGGAGTGCCACTGGCGCGACCCCTAGTTTTTCTTCCTCTGCCTTTAACTTTTTGTCTTTACGTTCATTGTCCCTCTCCTTTAGGTTTAGAGCTCTCAAGACATACCAAGTGAACCACTTTTCCTAGTCATTTTTCACGTTAATGATTGCCTTTTCTTTGCACGTTTTGGACGGAGAGGGATAGAAGAACTTCCACGAAGCCGCTCATAAGCGACTGTATGAATCTCAAGAGTAATGATTGACTTAACGGTCCAGTTACCTCCTTGCATCTGGAAGATCGCAAAATTTTCCAAGATCGTGTCAAACATAGTGTTATATATCTCATTCACATCAGTACCTTCTACATTAACCTCAACTCCAGAATGAAACGCTGCTGCTTCAGTTATTGTTCTACTGAAGTCATTCTGATCGACGTTGTGTTCAATATTCCTGCTTTGGGAACAAGTTTTTCCCGCAAAAGTTTATGTATATTTGTAGGTGTATTTCCCTGGAGTTGATTTCTTGGGGACCGAACTCAAGTTTAGATAGAGAAAACAAAATTCGTCGTCGTTTGTCGCTTGTCGCTTGTTTACATCCTCCTAAAACGTGAAATTGGGTATTTTTCACGTCATAGTCGTGCAGTGACGGCAAAGAAATGTACAAGAAAAGCGTGATGCACGTGCAGAATTGTTGTTTTGCTTTATCTAAACCTATTGCTTTTACGAAGGTCTCGTTGCCGTAGCCGTCGTCGTTGCTAAAGCTCCCTATTAAGATTCACAGTTACTCCAAACGGCAAATGTCAGATTCAAGTTGAGAATTTCTCAGAATAGAAAATAAACAGATAAAAACTGTCCAGAGCAATTCTTATGTATAAAACTGGCGTGAAACTACTTATTTTTTAGTTGAAGTAATAAACAGTTAACGACAATTAAAGGAGAAACTTGGTCACGTGGTACAAATTCACGTTTGCCGTTTGGCGTAAAAGTGAATCTTAATCTCACTTTTAGGGACCTCACGATCCGACAACGGCGACGTGCATGAAAACATCGTTGAAAAATAGGCTTTGCATCCTTTAAATTTTTCGCGATTATACCAAGTCGCCCAGATACTGGAAAGAAGGGAATTTGTGTTGGAGCTGAAGAGAGGGAACCGCCCCCGAGTTCGGACAGATGCGCTAGAATTTATAGCCTTGTTGTTCCCGTTCTCAAGTGAACTTACTGACGGCCTGACTGACTGCCCCTGGGTCTCCGATGATGACACTTATCAGGCTCAGGGACATAGAAAAATCTATAAAGTATTGTATTTCACCCCCCCCCCCCCCCCCCCCCCCCCCCCCCCCCCCCCCCCCCACAAAACCCCCCCACAAAAACACACACCAACATCATCTGGACTGTTATCCACAAAACAAAACAAAACAGCCCCATAAA